TCTTTCTTTCTTTCTTTCTTTCTTTCTTTCTTTCTTTCTTTCTTTCTTTCTCATGTTCTCTCTTAAGTTTCCTGGGTTGATCTCACACTTGTGAGCCACCTACCTCAGGCTCTCCAATAGCTGGGGTTACAGGCATGCGCCGCTGTACCCATTAACACCAGTGTTTTGATGAGCATCTCTGAAAAACAAGCCTTTAATTTGTTGTCAGCATTATTTCATCTTTGCGACATTACCGCCACTGCACCACCCCAACACCGACCTGCCGAGCTATATTACCAGTTCGAATTAATATATTCATTAAGACAGCAGTCTAGAAGACTTGGCTTTTAGAGTTCAAGTATTTGGCTCAGCGAAAGACATATTTACAGCTCATTAAGCTGACCTCAGTTATGTGAGGCGACATAGACTATTTGAAAGATGTAATTTTCAATTTTTTTTTGTTTATCCTTCATGTTTTGCATAGAATGTGAAAGAATCCTCTAAGAGGCCTGAACCCAGACTCTTTACTCCTGAAGAATTCTTTAGAATTTTTAACAGATCCATCGATGCCTTCAAGGACTTTATGGTGGCCTCTGAAACTAGTGATTGTGTGGTTTCGTCAACACTGAGCCCCGAGAAAGGTAAGACACATAAACATCACCAACTCAAATGTAAATAGCAAGCTTGAACTAATTTATATCTCTAAGAATCTATTTCTGAATCAAATGGATGTGTAACAATAAAAAAGATGCCGTGTGTTGTTCTAATAAATAATCAAATGTCAGTGGCACAAGAGGAACAAATGATTGTGTATTTGTTGGTTTCCAAGACAAACATTATTCAGTCATTTTTAAATTAAAAATTATATGTGGAAACAATATATGAAATAGTCACATATATTTTCTATCTGATATATGAGTACAACTATATTATTCTTTACCTCCAGTTTCCTTAATGTTCCCTTCTCAAATCTTTTGATTGTCTAATTATGTGCGTGAATTGTGATTCTCATCAGTTATTCTGAATTGATACCCCCCTCCCCTGCCACTTGGTCCCTATAGCAAAAACTTAATTGCTTTCTTTTTTGAATGACAAATTGCATATGTATGCCATAAATGTTTGCTCTACAAGGTGACTGTGGTGAATTTCTTAATAAAATACAACAGCAGGACTCAGTATGAAATAAATAGGATCTGAATAATCTCAATAAGGGAAACAGACCTGGCACATACTCTGATAAGGACTCTGTTATTCATATACATCACCATGTAACACTGACACATTATTGCTTTCTATTTAGATTCCAGAGTCAGTGTCACAAAACCATTTATGTTACCCCCTGTTGCAGCCAGCTCCCTTAAGAATGACAGCAGTAGCAGTAATAGTAAGTACACATCTGATTTAATGCATGCATGGCTCCAATTAGCCTCTATAGGAGTATTGCATGGGCTTTAAAGGAAATTTATACAATCATTATTACTATTAATACTGTTCTGTTACTGTTATTCCTCTTATGATCTTCCTGAGAATTAAATATTTGGCTTGTAGACTGGGCTTCCCTAGTGTTTTGATATATTGAGAGAATTTGGCCAGTAGATTTTCTGCTAAGATTATATTAAATAAGGTATGAAATTAATTTGATATATGATTTAGACTTTTATTACTATAGACTTAAGTATATTTTGTGGAGAATGTGCCCGACAAAGATGGAACTTTAAAATCGAAAATACAAGTGCTGGTTTTGTAAAATTCTAAGGATATTTTCAGTTTGGTGTATTTGTTTATCACTGTTTAGTATTTTGTTTTTGGAAATTTGATGATTTTGTTATTTTACCATAAATGTACATATTGGAAGAAAATGTACTTTCCTTGAAATTTCTGTCCTTGTTGGCCAAGAACCTAACTCTCTGGAATACCGCGTCTTTTCAAATTCAGGCAAAGGTCATTATAAAGATTTTTGGATTTACTATATACTCTCTAGCCTCAGGGAAGCAGCGCAAAGAAAAAAATCTGGTCATTTTTACTAAAAATGTAATCCCTTAAGACTTATAAATGGGGCTAAGGTTGTCATTTGTTCAGGGACATAGAAGACCTTTCTCTAAGAAAGGTATAAGCATTTTATTACAAAGGGGTCATAGCATGTTTACAACATGGAATTAAAAAAAACATTAAATTACAATTCATTTTAGAATTTTCCTACCAAAACTTGTTCTAAATTGAGATAAAGCTAGCTATTTATAGTCTTATCCTTCTAAGAATGAATATTTATGCATTTCAGTACAGAAATATGAACGTATTTGATTGTAGGGCACTACCCAGAAGTCACTGGGGGTGATCTGTAATATACAACATTTGTGGGACAGAATCTTCTAAAACCTAAAATTCCAAATTACATATATATCATATCAGATCTGAAAAGTTTCAAAGAGGACTAGTGTTATATGTGTATATTTATGTGTCAATTTAGGCCTTTCCTATGAACTATGGGTTTTATTAAGCTTTTCAACAAAGCAACTTTTGGTTAAATTCTGTTTATATTTTATTGATTTTGATCTTTATTATTTCCTTCCTTCTACTTACATTGGTCTTAATTTATTCAAGTTCTCACTCTTTAAGGTGCAAAAATTGTATCACTGATTTTTGAACCAGTCTTTTCCTAATTTCTTAGAGTTATAAATT